GCAACAGCTCAGGAGGGACTTCAGAGTGGAGGGAGGCACTCTGCTCCAGGGACTATGGTAGATAAGGTCTGTAGATAGTTGGATGTTTTTAGGAACAAACTTTATGATCTCAATCCTTGCATCTCCTCCTATCTAGAGAGGCACTAAATCCCTTCATGGTGACATCAGATCCTCATGACTAACAAAAAACCTTTTGTGAAATGACTGCTTCATGGTATTGAACTTCCCCTTCACCAAAACCTTATATATTGAACTTTCCCCACTGCTGCTTTGAAGCAGTCTCTCAGACTGCTCAATGGAAATGCACAAAAACTCAGTAAATCATCTCAGGTTTCAGCATAATGTCGCCTTTTCCTTATTGTTTTTAGTGCACACAAAGAAGCATGTCCTAGGGGGTCATTAACTTACTGAGCCCACCGTGCAGGATGTGGGGCTCATGCCACCGCTGTTTTATTGTTTGGGGGCAGGTCCTGTGCCTTTGCCACATGGTTTTGTTGCTGAGCAAACCTGCTTTCTTGAGTGATCCTTTAACTTAGAGTCTCCCATGCTTTTTTCTTTACTTACAATCCCCTAGTGGGATTAACTATTTAATCACCTACTTTGTCTCTTTTCTCTATCCTTACCAACTTGATTTACTTTAGTCTACTTGCCAGTCCTGGGCGACCCAGGTTACTGTGTTGGGTTTCCTTCTGGGGAGGTCTAACAGCAGTCTTTATTTTTAGCACAAATCATGCAAGTTGGAGGGGCTCGCTGGATGGTCTTCCGCAGGTTAGGCTCCATTATGAACTTGTGAATCCGTTGTGGCATCTCTCCTGGTCTGGGTGCTGTTACAGCGTGGTGTGGCGTGGTGTCCACGAGGGCCTCAGTAGTCAGGACAGTCCCATGTGCACACAACTCCCCCGGGCATGGTGTGGTCAGGAGTGAATTCCTACTCCTTTTCTGGATACACCACCTGGTATTTTGACAAACTGATCTGCAGTGACCCTCTCATGTCTTGAGAATCGCCTGCCTTTGCAGCTTGGTCAGCTAACTGGTTGCTTTGGATTATATGAATTTCACCCTTCTGGTGGCCTGGACAGTCCACTCAGGCCACAAGTGAGGGCTTGTGGATGGTTTCTCATAGTGACAGGATCTCAGAGCATGTTTTCTGTCTTTATTGCCTGAAGCAAGGAGCCCCCTTCTCTCCAGATGGTCCTGTGAGCAGGCACCACAGAGAATGCAGAGCAGGAGTCTCTGTACATATCACTCACATGCCTTTAGTCAGCAGTAGGACTCTTGTCAGAGCAGTGATTTCTGCCTCCTGAGCTGAGCTCCCTGGGGGCAGGGCTTTTGCTTCTACCACCTTTCAAGGGTTAGTACCACAGGACTTCCCTGGCGGTCCAGTGGTTAGGACTCTCCGCTTCCACTGCAGGGAGTGCGGGTTTGATCCCTGGTTGGAGAACTAGGATCTTGTAGGCTGTGTGGCAAGAAAACACAAAGGGGTTTCACTACATACCGAATACGTCCCCTGCCTCGGTTGATGAAGCTGCTTCCATGCATGAACAGGTCCACATCCGGGTCAGCCAAGGGTTGTGTGTCGAGCCCTGTCTGCTCGAGGCAGTCATGCTCAGGGGGTTGTGTAGCAGCCGCTGGGAGCAGTGACGCTGGATTTAGGGGGAAAGTGACCTGAGGTTTTAGAGTGGAATTGCCTAAGAGAATGGCTTGGTACTTCCCCATTCTCCCAGAAGTCAGCCAGTAGCCCCCTTTTTGTTCCAGTGAAGAAAGGACATGAAATCAAGTGAAAGTCACTCAGTTGTGTCCGACTCTTTGCAACTGCATGGACTGTACAGTCCATGGAATCTTTCAGGCCAGAATACTGAAGTGGGTAGCCTTTCCCTTCTCCAGGGGATCTTCCTGACCCAGGACACAAATGGCGGTCTCTTGCACTGCAGGCAAATCCTTTACCAACTGAGCTACCAGGGAAGTCTGAAGAAAGGACATGGTGAGAGACATACACAGCGGTGGGTCACCCCAGGCTGAACTGCTCGGCTTCCGGAAGTCTGGCACAAGGAGCTGCTACAGCTCGAAGGCTAGAGGAAAACCCTGAACAGTCTGTTTTACTTGAGAAGTAAGTAGTGGGCCGAGGGGTGTTCCCCGGAACTTGAATTAATATCTGAGACTTATGCCTTGTCTCTCATGGACCTACAGTGTGAAAGGTTTGAGTCTGCTAGTTCCAAAGCTGGCGCCGAGACTAACCTTGTTTTTATCATTTCACAGGCTGTTTGGTGCTATTTTGCCCAAGTAAAAAGCTCAAGATATGTCCTTTTAAAGCCTGAGTTCGAGATCCTAATTCAACAGAATCCTGCCCTCCCCAGAAGCCCCTCTGCTCTGTGTGTCCTGGGTGTTTCCAAGACGGCAGTTGCCTATTTTCTGTCAGGCAGAGGATGGAACCCAGGTACATGACTTGTTGCTTACATACTTGAGCCTTCTTCTGGGAGCCAGTCCATCCACAACTGGCCGAGTTCAGGCTTCTTAGGGTTATTTTGTAGACATTTCACTTCTTGGGAGCAAGTCATCCACACACATTGGAATAAGAACCCTAGCCAACATTTCCCTGAACAAGGTAGGGGAAATCTTCAGTCCTTGAGGCAACACTGTCCAGCAGTACTGTTGGACTCCCTGTGTTTCTGGGTCCTGCCACCAGAAAGCCGACAACTGCAGTGGTTTTCCTGCAGTAGGAATGCAGGGGAAAGTATGCTTCAAGTCCAGAACTGAGAACCAGGAGTATTTTCCCACAGTAGTTCCCCCCCTCCCCCTCCCCCAGTAGTTTTGAGCAGAACATATATGGATTAACTTACTACAGCTGCAAATCTAGGCCTGTCTCTCTAATGGCCCACACGTCTTGGACAATGATTTGTCCACTGCTGAGTTCAGCTCTTTGGGAGGATAGGGGTTTTACATAGGCATCTACAAGGTTTAATTAGTCCCAGGTAAGCCAATTTTTCAAGAACTGTCTGAATTATCTCTGGGGTCTCTTGCCTCAGAAGGTATTGTTTTAAATTAGGTGTCCCAGTGTCCTTTTTTTTTTTTTTTTTTTGGGCTGTCCTGCACAGTGTGCAGGATCCTAAGTTCCCTCACAAGGAATTGAACCCAGGCCACTGAAGCAAAAGTGCCAACTTGTAACCACTGAACCACCAGGGAATCCCAGCAGTGTCCCTTTTTTAACAGGGTTTGTATTGGCCACATGTTTGTTGGCCTTCACTGGGGTGCTGTCAGTCCACACTTCCTGCCTTACCTTTTTGTATACCTGTGGAGGGGGAATCAGTCTCCTTCTCCAGAGTGTCCACAAGTGTCATCTGCCTGCTTACTGGGTGCCCCAACAGGATGCTGATGTCAAGCTCTTCTGGTGAAAAAGTTATTTGTGCATTTAATTTACAAAAGAGGAGTTGGACATGTTGGCATATATAAGGAACTGTGTTGAGGCTGAGGTCCCCTAATCGGCATTCGAGAGGTTGTAAGAAAGAACAGCTTTGCACCTCTCCAGAAACTCCTGTGACCAGGATGGACTGAGTCGTTCTCTGCACCATCTTGGTATTTACCAGAGTACGCTGCACTGTAGCTATCAGAAGGTCAGTCAGCTTGTCCCCACTGTCACAGGTACCCGGGGCTCCTGGGGCATCATCAGAGTGTTATCTCTTTCTACTGCATGACAGGCTCCTGTCTGTTACTGTTTTCCTTGTTACTCCTTAGCCAAGGACAGTCTGTTTTCCAGTACCCTCCTTACACTAAGCGCGTTGTTCCCTCCCCCACGGTGGTTCACCTCTCCTCAGGTTACTTGCCCTCTGGGAATCCATAGCTGCCACCAGGTAATGTGGCTTTCAGTCTTCCATCTTCTGGCTCTTTTGCTGTTCCGTGCTATTGAACACTTTTAAAGCAACATCTGCCAGTTGAGAAGGGGTCATTCCAAATGGACCATCTAACTTTTGTGATTTTCTTATGTCTGGGGAGCTTTGTCCAGTAAAGGTTATGTTTACCATTCTCATTTGCAAACCCCTGAGGCCTCAGGGTTTGCATTAGAGTAGTGCCTGTAAGTATGATAAACTCTTTCTAGAAATTCTGATGGATCCTCATTGGGTTTTTGGTGTATCTCTTGAATTTATCTAAGCTCTTTTGTCTGGATACTCCTTTTCAAAGACCTGCTAAGATACACTTACTGTCATACTCTCAGTTCAGTTCAGTCGCTCAGTCATGTCCGACTGTCTGTGACACCATGGACTGCAGCACACCAGACTTCCCAGCCCATCACCAACTGAAACTCATGTCCATTGAGTCAGTGATGCCATCCAACCATCTAATCCTCTGTCATCCCCTTCTTGTCCCACCTTCAATCTTTCCCAGCTTCTCCAATGAGACAGTTCTTTGCATCAGGTGGCCAATATATTGGAGTTTCAGCTCAGCATCAGTCCTTCCAATGAATATTCAGGACTGATTTCCTTTAAGATTAACTGGTTGGACCTCCTTGCAGCCCAAGGGACTCTCAAGAGTCATCTCCAACATCACAGTTTAAAAGCATCAATTCTTCGGCACTCAGCTTTCTTTATAGTCCAACCCTCACATCCATACATGACTACTGGAACAACCACATCTTTGACTAGGTGGACCTTTGTCCGCAAAGTAATGTCTCTGCTTTATAATATGTTGTCTAGGTTGGTCACAGCTTTTCTTCCAAGGAGCAGGTGTCTTTTAATTTCCTGGCTGCAGTCACCATCTGCAGTGATTTTGGAGTCCCAAAAATAGTGTCTCACTGTTTCCATTGTTTCCCAATCTATTTGCGATGAAGTGACTGATGGGACAGAATGCCGTGATCTTAGTTTTCTGAATGCTGAGTTTTAAGTCAGCTTTTTCACTCTCCTCTTTCACTTTCATCAAAAGACTCTTTAGTTCTTCACTTTCTGCCATAAGGGTGGAGTCATCTGCGTATCTGAGGTTATTGATATTTCTCCCAGGAATCTTGATTTCACCTTGTGTTTCATCCAGCCCAGTGTTTCTCATGATGTACTCTGCATAGAAGTTAGATAAGAAGGGTGAGAATATACAGCCTTGATGTACTCCTTTCCCTATCTGGAACCAGTCTGTTGTTCCATCTCCAGTTCTAACTGTTGCTTCCTGACCTACATACAGATTTCTCAAGAGGCATGTCAGGTGGTCTGGTATTCCCATCTCTTGAAGAATTTTCCATAGTTTGTTGTGATCCACACAGTTAAAGACTATTCAATGAAGCAAAAGTAGATGGGAGGAATCTTCTATTTAAGGAATGGGCAGAGTTTTTGGGAATTGGGCCTCCGCCTGCTTTTTGACCTTTTATGGTTATCCTGTGAACTATCATTGTGCCTTTGGGTGTGTCATTTAGGTGGTGTGTTGGAGTGAGAGTGTAATGAGGCTTAAGGTCAATTGGAAGTAGACTCTTCTGCCATCTTGGGCCTCGTTGGGGTTCTAACTAGTTTTTGTCATATCTTTTTTTTCTCAATGACTGTGTCATCCCCTCCCCCACTGCTTCTTTTAATGGTTGTGCCCTGCCCGCTTCCTTCTGTCTCATTGTGATCCTTTAGAATATTGAGAATGTTGTCTTCTAAGGAGTGATGTGGCTTGGTGCCAGAGGAAGAAAAATTGATCTTTATGGTTGAGCAGGTTCTTCCATTGAGGTCTGGTTAACAAAGGGCTCACTGGAGAGGAGGGAGATGGCCAAAATGGGCAGAGGAAAAGTTTGCATTTAATTTTCCTGTCTTGCCTTAAACTGTTGAGTTTTTATTTCATCAGCGCCTCTCAGGAGTTACTGCGTCCCACCTATTCTGAATGTGTGGGCAAGAGGGATCAGGAGACAGAGTGACTGAGAGAAATAAAATGTGAGGAGAACAGAAGAGTGGGTGAGATCAGAGGGCAGTGTGGAGGATGGGTGTTTTGCAAAGAGATGGTAAGAATGAAAATATAAACAGTGAAAGTAGCAGATGGTAAAAAACAAAGTGAAAGAAAGTTAGGATCTCTTGGGACATGAAGGACTAAAGATAGAATAGGAGAGGAGCCCCTGATCAGTATGAAAAGGGAAGGTTTGTCACTTGGTCGTGTCTGACTTTTTGTGATTCCCATGGACTGTAGTCCACCAGGCTCCTCTGTTCATGGAATTCTCCAGACGAGAATACTGGAGTGGGTTGCCATTTCCTGCTCCAGGGCTCATCAGTATAGTGAGGGTATAAAAGGGTGGAAGACATGACCTAGGGAAAGACTTGATGCTGAGAGAGAAGGGCTGGAGCGGGGACAAAGTGAGCAGAGGAAGAGAGGGTGGCAAGGTAGTTTGGCCACTAGAAGTGGGGCAGAGTGGGGATAAAGGGCGTGTCACGGATTCAGTGGTGGGAACCTGGAGGACTGAAAGAGAGGGACACAGGAAACACGTCAGAAAAGTTGAGGGGCAACAATGTGCAGAGGGGCAGGACAGCAGAGGTGGATAAACAGACAAACCAAATGAAAGGGAAACATGAAGAAGTGAGGGGGTGGAGATCTGGACCCAAATGAGTGCTGAGCTGTTTGTTTATGCATGACTAAGTTGTGATGTATTTGATTTGTGGCTTTGGACTCTAAAAAATATCTTTTAAAATTATTCTGATAAGGATTGAAAATTTCCTGTCTGTATGTGTGCATTTTGTAATTGTTTGTATCATAGTAGAGCTTCCATTTGCCATCCTGTTCAGGGAACAGTGACTAGACTCAGACAGCTGTGGGTCACCCCTTCTGCTTCCTGGTGTGGAATATAGGACAGGGAGACTGTTGGAGCCAGAAATGACATCTGTCACCATGCCTCTCTCTCACTTTTAAATAAGATGGAATGAACAGAGAACATTTCAAGTGAGTTCTTTTATTACCCACCTTGATACTAGAATCAGAATATATGTATTAAATTAGAGAAATATTTTAGTGTGTTTAGATTCACACAGAGAAGAAAGGAAACAAATTGGTCAGTTAGAAAACACTAACTGCTCTAATAATTTTCACCTGTCACTGGACACACGTAGCAGAATGGGCCTGTGTTTCATGGAACATTACACTCTCAGGATAAAGAACAAAGTTCGATCCAGCCTTAACCCTGGACCTCAGAGTACTCCATCTGCAGAGCCTAATGAAGGTACCAGACCCAGGCCGTCCATGCCCAGCTCTCTGCACCCTGCCCTGACTTCCCACTTGAGCCCTTGATGCTTGCCTTGCAGCTCCTCCAGGATGTGGGAGGAATAAACACTTCCATTTCACTTTCCCTTGCAGTCTTCTGTTGAGTTGTGACATAACGACCAACACCGAGGACCTTGACTTAACAAATGTTCGTGTAACAAAGTCACAACAGTGGTATTAGATACATCTAACAAACATACAAACACACGAAGAATTAAAGAGCTTCTTGATGAAACTGAAAGAGTGACAAAGTTGGCTTCAAACTCAACATTCAGAAAACTAAGATCATGGCATCTGGTCCCAGATGCCAGATGGTCACTTCATGGCAAATAGATGGGGAAACAATGGAAATGGTGACAAACTTTACTTTCTTGGGATCCGAAATCACTGCAGATGGTGACTGCAGCCATGAAATTAAAAGACGCTTGCTCCTTGGAAGAAAAGTTATGACCAACCTAGACAGAATATTAAAAAGCAGAGACATTACTTTGCCAACAAAGGCCCGTCAAGTCAAAGCTTTGGTTTCTCCAGTAGTCATGTACAGATGTGAGAGCTGGACTTTAAAGAAAGCTGAGAACCAAAGAATTGATGCATTTGAACTGTGGCGTTGGAGGAGACTCTTGAGAGTCCCTTGAACTGCAAGCAGATCCAACCAGTCCATCCTAAAGGAAGGCAGTCCTGAATATTCATTGGGAGGACTGATGCTAAAGCTGAAACTCCAATACCTCGGCCACCTGATGCAAAGAATTGACTCACTGGAAAAGACCCTGATGCTGGGAATGACTGAAGCCGAGAAGAGAAGGGAACAACAGAGGATGAGATGGTTGGATGGCATCACGAACTCGATGGACATGAGTTTGAAGAAGCTCCGGGAGTTTGTGATGGACAGGGAAGCCTGGAGTACTACAGTCCATGGGGTGGCAAAGAGTTGGACACGACTGAGCAACTAAACTGACTAACTGAACAAATATATAAAGAAGATTTAGCAGCAACTTGACATGACTTCTGTTAGACGAAAGGAAAGGAGGGAACACTTCCCAACTCAATTTATGAGGCCAGTATTACCATGAGACAGTATGAGACAAAGGTATCAGAAGAAAAGAAAAGAAAAAGATAACTACCAACTAAATCCCACATGAAGAAGCAAACATTCTTAACAAAATATTAGCAATAAAAATCAGCAAGAGACAAAAAGAATTGTATGCCATGATCCAATTGGGTATATTTGAGGGATAGAAGGCTATCTCGAATTTCAATCAATGGCATCCAAACTGTTGACAGACAAAAGAAGAAAAATCAAACTGTCTTATCAATTGATTCAGAAACTGCATTTAACAAAAGTCAACAACCATTTATGATATAAACTTCAGAAAACAAAGAAGAGTGGGAACCTCCCTCAACTCAAGAAAGAACACCTGTAAAAACTTACAGCAAACACCATACTCAATGGTGAAAGACCGGATGCTTTTCCCCAGAGATTAGGAAGCGGACCAATATGTCCACTCTCAGCACTGCTATTGACATTGTTTTAGACATTCTAGCCAGTCAATTAAAGGAGAAAAGTAAATAAAACCTATAAGGACTTCCCTGGTTGTCCATCCAGGGGATAAGACTCTGTGCTCCTAATGCAGAGGGTCTGGTTTCGATCACTGGGCGGGGAACTAGATTCCACATGCCACAACTAAGACTTCATGTGCTGCAAGGAAAAGATGCTACAAGGAAGACTGAAGATCCCAGGTGCCACAACCAAAGCCCAACATAGCAAATTAATAAATACAAATAAATGTTTTAACAAACAGTGGTAAAAGCTACATGGAGAGAAAAGGATGTTAAAATTGTACACCCATCAGGAGAAGACAGTCTGGTCGTGGTAAGCCAAATGATGCACTCCCCCCCCCACCCCAATACTGCCCACATCCTCTTATCTAGAACATGTTGAGTACTACTTTAAGTGTCCAAGGGGAGTTTGCAAATGTGATCTAGTTACAATCCGGACACAGGCGATTGGATGAACTGGTAAATGTAATATAATTCCAAAGGTCCTTCTAAGAAAAATACAGATGGAGATAGAATCATCTTGAAGCCAGTGATGTGATGGAAGGTAAAGAGATTTTAAGATACCCTGGGACTCCCCTGGTGGTCCAGTGGCTAAGACTCCACACTCCCAACGCAGGGGACCCTGGTTCAATCCCCAGTCAGGGAACTAGATATCATATGCCACAACTAAGAGTCTGAATGCCTCAACTAAAGATCCCATGTACTTAAACCAAGAACTGGACAAAAAAATAAATATTAAAAAAAATTTTTAAATGCTACCTTGCTGCCTTCAAAGGTAGAGTAAGGAAACAATGAGTCAAAGGAAGAAAATAACATCTAGAAACAGGAAAGGGAAGGAAAAGTATTCTGACCTGGAGAATCCAGAAGCAGCACATGGCTGAGGGTTCATTTTACAATCCTGGCCTCCAGAACTGCAAGAGAACAAATTTGGTGCTTTAATCCACTCAGTTGGTAGTGATTTGTTACATCAATAGGAAATTTAATGAAATGGAATATGTGAAAGGCAAAAGAATTTACAGGAATTTCTAGTAAACATATTAGGTGCCAGGGTACAGGAAAAACACAAAAAACTACTCCAGTTTTACAAATTACCGATTAACACATGGAAACTGAAATGTAAAATATAACACCATGTCCCCCCCAGAAAAAAAAAATATAAAACCATGTCTGAATGCTCAGAAAATTAAAACTAGAAAAAATAATGTGCAAATCTAACAAAACATGTACTTTTTTAAATGGTAAAGAAAGAAAAGATGACCTTTACTTTAGGTCATCTTAGAGAAATATACTTTATTCATTGATTGGAAGATACAACACAGAAACGATGTTAGAATGCCCCAAACTGACATACAGGTTTAATGCATTTTCAATCAAGATTTTGCAGATACAAACAAAATATTACTCTAAAATTAATATGGAAGTAGTAACAAATTATTAGTGACGAGGGGAAGAAAATGTCTCTTTCATGTTGGACATGTGATGTTTTCAATGGAGAGAGTAATGGCATCCAGACAGGGAGCACTGATGATCTAATAAGCACTTATTTTCTCAATTCAGTGTCACCCTAGACTCACTACAAATCTACTATTTCAATTTACTTAATGATATATTTCCAAAGATTTTAGATGCAAGTTGACATCTTTTCTTTTTCAAAATTATTATATCTAATAATTTCTCTTAATCATGCTGCTACACTAACAAAGCTATACTTATAATCCTTCAATTTCTCAATATCTGTAATTTTTGAGTACCACTTTCCTTTTTTTTTTTTTTAATACCTGTGTTGGGTATTAGCTGCAGTGCACACTCTCTAGTTGCAGCACTCGGGCTTAGTTACTCTGCATGTGGAATCACAGTTTCCTGACCAGAGATAGAACCTGTGTCCCCTGCATTGCAAGGTGGATTCTTAACCACTGGACCAAAGGAAGTCCTGTCTTTCCATTGTGAATTGACATAACCTCTCATATAGTTGTGATTATGGTAACTTTCTAATACTTTTGCTTTTCAGTTCATTTCAGTCGCTCAGTCATGTGCGACCCCATGAACCGCAGCACACCAGGCCTCCCTGTCCATCACCAACACCCGGAGTCCACCTAAACCCATGTCCACTGAGTCAGTGATGCCATCCAACCATCTTATCCTCTGTTGTCCCTTTCTCCTCCTGCCTTCAATCTTTCCCAGCATCAGGGTCTTTTTTCCAAAGAGTTAATTCTTCACAACAGGTGGCTAAAGTACTGGAGTTTCAGCTTCAGCATCAGTCCCTCCATTGATCTCCCTTAGAATGGACTGGTTAGATCTCCTTGCAGTCCAAGGGACTCTCAAGAGTCTTCTCGAACACCACAGTGCAACAGCATCAATCCTTTGGCACTCAGCTTTCTTTATAGTCCAACTCTCACATCCATACATGACCACTGGGAAAACCATAGTCTTGACTAGATAGACCTCTCTTGACAAACTAATGTCTCTGCTTTTTAATATACTGTCTAGGTTGGTCATAACTTTGCTTCCAAGGAGTAAGCATTTTTTAATTTCATGGATGCAGTCACTACCTGCAGTGATTTTGGAGCCCAGAAAAATAAAGTCAGCTATGGTTTCCAGTTTCCACTCTTTCTCCATGAAGTCATGGGACCAGATGCAATAATCTTAGTTTTCTGAATGTTAAGCTTTAAGCCAACTTTTCCCCTCTCCTCTTTCACCTTCATCAAGAGGCTCTTTAGTTCTTCACTTCCTGCCATAAGGGTGGTGTCATCTGCATATCTGAGGTTATTGATATTTCTCCCAGCAATCTTGATTCCAGCTTGTGCTTCCTCCAGACCAGCATTTCTCATGATGTACTCTGCAAAGAAGTTAAAAAAGTAGGGTGACAATATACAGCCTTGACGTACTCCTTTTCCTACTTGGAACCACTCTTTTGTTCTATATCCAGTTCTAACTGTTGCTTCTTGACCTGCATACAGGTTTCTCAAGAAGGCCAGGCGGTCTGGTATTCTTATCTGTTTTAGAATTTTCCACGGTTTATTATGTCCACACAGTCAAAGGTTTTGGCATATTCAATAAAGCAGAAATAGATGTTTTTCTGGAACTATCTTCAGGATTTCACAAGCTAAACAGTTTATCACTTACTGGATCTGAAAATGCCACACACTAGTGTACCACTAACTGAGAATTCAGCTTGTTTTCTGTGGCCTTTAACAAGGGCGACCGAGGGGAGCTAGCCCATGTCCAATGTCAGGGGCAGCAATCGACAGGAGTTACCCCAGGTAAAATGTCGGGGCAGTGGCCGAGAGGAGCTACCCCACGTCCAAGATAAGGAGCAGTGGCTGCGCTTTGCTGGAGCAGCTGTGAAGCGATACCCCACATCCAAGGTAAGAGAAACCCAAGTAACTGGCACTGAGAGAGGGCATCAGAGGGCAGACAGACTGAAACCACAATCACAGAAAACTAGCCAATGTGATCACACGGACCACAGCGTTGTCTAACTCAATGAAACTAAACCATGCTGTGTGGGGCCACCCAAGACAGACAGGTCACGGTGGAGAGGTCTGACAGAATGTGGTCCACTGGAGAAGGGAATGGAAAACCATTTCAGTATTCTTGCCTTGAGAACCCCATGAACAGTATGAGAAGGCAAAATGATAGGATACTGAAAGAGGAATTCCCCAGGTCGGTAGGTGCCCAATATGCTACTGGAGATCAGTGGAGAAATAACTCCAGAAAGAATGAAGGGATGGAGCCAAAGAAAAAATAATACCCAGTTCTGGATGGGACTGGTGATAGAAGCAAGGTCCGATGCTGTAAAGAGCAATATTGCATAGGAACCTGGAATGTCAGGTCCATGAATCAAGGCAAACTGGAAGTGGTCAAACAGGAGATGGCAAGAGTGAATGTAGACATTCTAGGAATCAGTGAATTAAAATGGACTGGAATGGGTGAATTTAACTCAGATGACCATTTTATCTACTACTGTGGGCAGGAATCCCTTAGAAGAAATGGAGTAGCCATGACAGTCAACAAAAGAGTCCGAAATGCAGTACTTGGATGCAATCTCAAAAACGACAGAATGATTTCTGTTCGTTTCCAAGGCAAACCATTCAGTATCATGATAACCCGTCTATGCCCCGACCAGTAATGCTGAAGAAGCTGAAGTTGAACAATTCTATGAAGACCTACAAGAACTTCTAGAACTAATACCCCAAAAAGATGTCCTTTTCATT